GGCTGAACAATCGGCTCTGACAGAAAGGCTGCAGTGACCATAGACATAGTACCAGTACCATCTGTAATAGCAGTGTAGTAGCTGCAGTAAGAAGAATCAGTGGTAGTTTTACCAGCTTTTGCAATACTAGCAGCAGTAACAGCTGGCGAGGCAATGAAACTTTATTTATACCACAGCACATTTTATTACAGGGAAACCAAATGTGCTTTACATATTCATGCACATGCAAAGAAAGAAGGGCGATCTGCTGAGCCCTGAGTAGCGACTGCAGGTGCAGCGCTACTATAGACTGGGTTTCCTGACGGGCCAAGTCCAGTTAAGAACAGCACAGTGACACCGGTTGATAGTGTGTGTTTTAATTTAGCTGCTGTGACAGTTACATGTAACTTTTCATTAAATGAGCTCTTACAGAATTATAACAACGTTTATTTTGAAAAACAAATACATGTTGTCAAAGCCTCAACATGGTTTACACTATGAATCCCTGTGCACAGATATTTTTCTACCACATAACCCAGACGAGCCCTGTAGATACTAATGATAATAGTAGCAGCAGGAGTAGTATTAGTAGACTGTGTGTGTGTGTGTGTGTGTGTGTGTGTGTGTGTGTGTGTGTGTGTGTGTATGTGTGTCGTCTCAGAGAAGGGCTCTCACCACCACTTCCTCATTCCTTGTGGCTCTAAAGATGGAGACCAGCCGGAAGAATCCGCGCTTGACAGCATCATCTCCATCGAACACCTTGAGGTACTGCTTCCCTGTGGGTCAGAGTAACACACTGAGCTTCCCTTCAAGTCAGAGTAACACACTGAGCTTCCCTTCAAGTCAGAGTAACACACTGAGCTTCGTAACACACTGAGCTTCCCTTAACACACTGAGCTTCCCTTCAAGTCAGAGTAACACACTGAGCTTCCCTTCAAGTCAGAAAACACTCGTCCACTTGTAGTGTCACATCGTTTCTGCATCAGCTTGCTGCAGCTCTTCACTGGAGTGTGAACTGACCTGACTCTAGAGCAGCCGGCTGACCATCTTTAGACACCGCAGCAGACGGATCAAAATCATCAAAGTTATCTGACAGAAACATGGAGGGAAACACTCAGATTACTGGACATATTGAAGGCTCAAGGCCTGACAGGAGGCTGCAAAGAGGAGGACGAGACATTTTGAAAATAATTTCAGACTGAAGGATTTTCACTGCACCAAGATTTGTGGGGAAGAAATGCAAGTGTTAAGGCGGACATGTTCCTCTTCATCGTATAACATGAAGTAAATCTCAGTAGACTGAGAATATGAGAGAAAGTGCACAACAGAAAATTTCAATGAAACACTATGCGACAGGTAAATGTAAATGTGATGGTCATGAGCAGCAGCCACAGACACACCCAGAGGTGTTGAAGGAACCTGCAGGCCTCCAGAGGCTGACGGCTGTGAGTTTGTCAGAAACAGGCTCCATTATTAACATCATTTCTGATCACCTCGGTTTTAGTTTCTCAACTCAGATCAGCAGAGTGAAGCTGTCAGGAAACGCTTCACACATTTTGTGTTGTCAGCATGACAGAGGATGTGGTTTGGAGGTGTGTGCGTGTGTGCGTGTGAGCATGTGCGCTTGTACCCAGGTCACGGCTGCAGCTCTCTGCGATGTGGTAGCAGTGCATCTTGCTGAAGTTTCTTGAGTCGAGGCGGACGCAGGCCGGATGCAGCAGCATGCAGCGCAGACGTCCCAGAGTGCACCCTGGTGGCACACTGAGGTAACACGCCGCATGGCTCTGCAGAAGGAAACAAAAAGAGGAGACACAACTCATTGGTTCAATGATTTTAACATGTGCTGTGTGTGCAGTGTGGTTTATTGATGCTCTGCAAGCCGGACTGACCAGTGAGGGGCCCACTGTGCAGAAATGTAGTGATGGGGCCACAGGTGACACCCAGAAACCAACCAGGACTCTTGTACCGTCCAGGTTTGTGTATGTGTGTTAATTTGTGGTACCGAGGATACAACTCACCATGTGAGCCCAAAACAAGCTAAAATAATACAGGATTTAGAACCAGGGATCTTCTACAAGACTCAAGCAGGGTGTTGGTTTGGTTTCAGACATTTTAGATTCATTTCCATCATCATTCTCATGAGGAGACGTCTGGTCAGTCCCAGACTCATCCTGCAGCCTGACACTGAGCCCAAACCCCCGTCACAGTTCTAAAGCACTACATTCAGAGGCCAGAGGAACCAGGAGCAGCAGGTGGTCCGGTCCCGACAGAGCCCTGATCCCAGCATCATGGAGTCAGCCTGGGGTCACATGCACAGACAGAGACAATGAGACAACCTGAGTCCACGGCTGAACTGTGGTGGCTTCTCCAAGATGCTGGAACAAGCTCCCTGCCATGTACCTGGAGACACAGTGTGTGGGCGGACTGAGGAGACCTGGGCTGGTTTAAAGGCAACGGGGTTCACAGCAAACACTGGTCTGGTCTAGGTTTGTTCTCTTTGCTGCAGTTTGGATGAAGTTCACTGAGGAATAAAAACTGTTCATGACATTATCCTTACTTTACAGCTAGTGCCTGAAACTTCTGCACAGAGCTGTGTAGCCCTGTTGTGTCAATAACTGAACCCTGTTTAAAATCATGCTGACACTGGATGTGCTTCCAGCCCTGGGTAGTGCCTGCAGTCTTCCTCTGAGCTGCTGCACTAGTCCCCAACAAGCTCCGATGGCATGGCAGACTGACTCCAGCCTGAGATGCACCACACGCTCAGGTCTTCTCTTGTCTGGACTCTGTTGGCTGAGGGGGACAAAAACAGGACTTCCTGCTCCCCAGTGCAAATTCAGCGACAACAATGCGTACAGATACTAAACCATTTGTATGGTCATTTTGCTGTGCAAATTCCTTAACGAATTAGGAAACACTCAAAAAACCAAACACCACCTGACACATGGTGAACCTCAGGTTATTGGGGCCCCTGGAGGTCTGTTAAAAATGCCCTGCTTGTGAGATGGTCAGTAGTAGGACGTGGTCTAACTCTTAGCTGGTTCTCACCGTGATGCCGCACCACTCACACCTCATTCCCGCCAGGACGTCGGACGAACCGCAGGATCGCCGACAGATGTCACACCTGGCCGCTGACACCAGGTTCCCCTCCCTCCAGTGGTGGTGAAACGTGTCCTGATGTAACAGAGTGAAAGAAAGAAACAGTAGGTCAGTGAGAAACAGGTTGAGCTTATTTATAAATACTTATATATAAACCATAAATCATTTTATTTAAGAGCTGGAGCTTCCACACTGTCGTCTGCTTCTTCAGACACCAGGGACACAAATGGAATCATATCCAAGCAGCTGAGGTGACCAGTTTCCCACAGCTGAACGTTCTTTCTAAAACAGGTGCTGACTCTTGCTCCAGTTTGTCGTTGGAACAAAACCTCAACAACCCAACAAAGGATCTGCTGTTCCAGATGTTATGAGCCACTGCGCTGTCCTCGGGACGCACACTGTGTGTGTCTCCACAGGCAGCTAAACACCTTCCCCTCATCAGGACTGTGGAGACCTGCAGCTGCCAACAGGAGCACTGTCAGAAGGTACGGTGAAACTAAAAGAAACATTAAGTTTCACAATCTAAAATGTGCAACCACAAATCCTACAAGCACACACCTTTGCCTTTCATATTGAAGCAGTGGTACACATGTATTCCATGTACTGTATATGCTTCAAACTATAAATACTATGATCACACTTTCCCAAGAAACAGATTGGCTTTGTTTTGTCTGGACGGGATCCAAACCAAGAGTGAACGCCTCCCGCTAACACGTACAGTCTGTGACATCTCTCCTTCCTCTGCGCCACACAGCTTCATTGTTGTCCTGTAAAACACGCTGGCTGACATGTTCCTCCACCACCACCAACACACACACTGTGGTTTGTTCTGACGCCGCCCTGCTGCCATGAGACTCACTGGAGACCAAATGTGGATTCATCCACTGCTGAAAATAGTCCCCAACAAATGCACTGTTTCCTCCTGTTTGTTGTAACCAGTGAAACTATGACGATACACGTTTACGAGGTCTTTTTGAAGATTTCTGTCACCAGTAGGAACCAGTGGGCTTGGAGCAGACCGAGTAGACGTCAGATAGTGCTGAGAGCCAGAATAAATATGGTGTATTGACTGAATAGTAATAACTGCTTCCTGTCATGAGCTAAGCACCTGTCCAACCCAGTCTGCTGCTGGTTTGCTGTTGATTATTTGGTGTCCAACTGGTTTCCAGTCTATAGGGGCTTTCAGCTACGTGATACTGATTTGAATCAGTGACAGTGACTGATCAATCAGCTCGATCCCTGAGCAGACAGCAGACTCCTCGTCTACTGCTCAGGGTGTCAGAACCAGTGTGTAACTACCCAGTGTGTGTCACGTGATCGGTCAGGCTGAGCTCTGATCAATAAGGCTCAGTCACATTAGTCATTGATCGGGTAACAAACACAATGTGAGCTCCTGGTCCTGCTGCACATCACCCCCATAAACTCTCTTTAACACACACACACACACACAGTGGATATGTAGTGCAGTACAAAGTGCAATACTTGCTTGAATTGTACTGAAGTACATGCATGAAGTAGAGTATAGTCAAGTACAAATACATCAACATTGTACTCACTGGTAAGTGTAGTACATGAGGAAATGTATGCAGTTACCGTGACGATCTGAGGCTGCACATTCAGCAACACCGTTACACCCGTTTTAACAGGCCCTTAATATTACACCACATTCATTTGTCCAGAGTGACTTACAGCACGTCCACTAAGTAGGTGGCTATGATCCAGAACCAAGACCGTTTCTACTGGACTTTCATCCTCGCTGCACTGATCTTTGTGGGCGCAGCCGGTCCCTGTTGACCACTGCCTGCACAGATGGAACACTAGTTCACCTGCCTGTGAGTGGGCCACCGAGTCCCGTACGGTCTAGTGGTTAGGGTTCCTGGTTTTTTCACCCAGGTGCCCGGGTTCGACCCCCGATATGGGAAATACAGGTTAGGGAGGTCACGGCTCAGGAGGCAGCGCGGTCGCCTTCTAAGTTCGGCAGGTTGATTCCCACTCTCCTCAGTCAACATGTTGAGGTGCCCTGATTATTATTCTGCTTCTGAGTTTCCACAACTGTTCAAGAAGAGATGGTCCTCACACTGAGACCGAAGATGTTCACATCAGCTGCCAATGCAGCTAGAAAGTTAAAATCACGGTTTAGCTGTGTTCTGGGCCATGTGACCGTCGCACACACGACCTGGTTGGTATTCTTGTGCGCGCATGGCTCACATTTCAGTTACACCTGTGCATGTGTGGCAGTTTAGGAGCTCAGCGGTGTTCACACCGGAGTGTTGGGGGGTTAAACACTGTTCTGACCAACACACTGTGGTGCTACTCACCTGCTCCAGTGTCCCATCCAGGTGACAGCTGCGGCAGTCGGCACAGCTGAAGGCAGCACAGTCAGCGTGGACATGCAGCTCGCACACTGAAACACACACATCATATGACTGGTGTGTGATGTGAGTCTGGAATGTGAGGTCAAAGGTCACAGACTCATCCCCAGTCTGCTCAGATAATCCACTAGTTTAAACGTGCCTGTGCTCATTAACAGATTAAAATCAACTGTGGCCTACATTTCACAACATGTCAACGATCACAGAACATGTTTCCACACACATGTTGTGAAAACGACATGACAGTAGATGAGTATCTACAGTACATCAACCAGCTGCTTGTACTTGAGTTCAGCAACAAAATGACACGTGGTGATCAAAGAAGCGCCTGTAGCTCCTCTGGTTTTTACTGCTACATGTGAAGGGCCCCTTAACCCAGAATACAAAACACATCTGTGGCACACAGTACTGACGACAGCTGTGTGTTACCTGACACTACTGCTGCATAGAGTTAAGAGTGTGTCACTGTGGTAGACAGGTTTTGTCCAGTTTACAGTCAGGACTCAGTGGGCGTCCTTGCCCACATTGTTGGTTTTGGGATTTTGTGACATACTATGTATGACTTTGATGCTGTAAAACTACAGTAAAGTACTGCATAAAGTACTGCGTAGAACCAAGTGAGGTCCTGTAGTGAAAACAGTCCGCAGTGTGTTTTGTGGCTTTTACCTTGTTTTGCATTTCTGTTATTTGAATGTTACATTAGACTGGAAAATGTGTTCATGTAAATAGAATCTACTTCATATGAGATGCTGGTTAAAATGGCCTAACTGGTGACGCTACTGGTCTGACCTTCACAGCGCAGAGCCGTGCTTCCCTCCGTTTGTTTCCTACAGACGCAGCAGAAACGTTTTTTCTGACCAGCTGGACCGAAGCAGTGAGCCACTGGCACCTGTAGGGGGCAGAATAAACATACAGTAGCTGTAGTACTGTTAATACAACATATAGGCAACATAAAAACAGTCATCACGTGGGCGGGGAGCGCCTCAGCTGAAAACAATATTACATGTTAATGGCACACTGTTCCTCCTGCTACCACAAATACTCAGTGGAGACCAAAGGTGGATTCATCCGCCACTGAAGGTAGTCCCCAACAAACGCACTGCAGCGTGCAGCTGTTTGTGACATTACTGAGACCTTTTAAAAAATTAAACCATACACTTCTTCAGAAGAAACTAGTGTGGACACCTGAACTGGGTTGGGACAGAAATATGCAGCCTGATCCTAGTTCAGCCCTAGTTTGAACCACCGCCAAGCACGACTCCTCACACCACGCCTGACCACGCTGTGAAGCTGTTTTGTGAAAAAAGAAGGGCAAAGGGCACAGGTGCTACATGACATAATGAAGGCCATGTGGTTTAGGAGTGAGGCATATCATCTAATAGCTAAACCAATCAGCACCACGTGCCCAGAAGATTTCAGTACTGATAGCTACTTCCTGTTTTCTTCAGTTCCTTTGAGATATAAAAACACAGTTTTATACAAATCTGTTTTTCATTTGACAAAAATTCATCCGAATTCATATGTTAAACCTTTGAACACAACTACTGCACAGCAGGATTTCTAAAAGAAGTCAGGAACTATTTGATCAAACAGGGATAAAACCAAGCTTATTAATCTGAGCAAGCGTTCGATCTAAACTCGGCACATTTCAGTCAGTGCTCTGAGGCTGGAGACTCGGTCCGGTTGTGACCGATTCACCCAGGAGGTGGCTCAGGCTAATCAGTCATGCTGCGGGCTACATGCGCGTCCACATTTAACCAGTGATAATTCATCTTTATCATCTGGTTTTCTCCAACACCAGTCCTTTCTGTCGGCGCCTGCTCACATTTGTTGCTGGTTTATTGATTGGCACAGCAGTCAGTCATGCTGGGTGATCAGGGCTGTGCCGATCAATATGAAGTATGTCAGAGGGTGTGTCGGGGCGTGCCAGGGTTTCAGTGAGGCGGCAGCTGTTTGTTACTTACCCGGATTAGAGATGGAGTCTTGCAGGAACAAACTGATCGCAGCGTCTTCAGGCATTTCTCATGACACATGAAGTTGCACACTGAGAAGGAGACGGGGGAGAGTCAGAGAGCAGAGAGACAGGGTCCAGGTTCAATTCCCTACAGATCTGACGTACTACTGACCTTCTGCTGGGTTTATGGTCTAGAAAGTTAGAAATATCTCATCAAACTGTCATTCAAACAGGCTTTTCTCATACAGTAAACACAACCAGAAGGCACAATGACAAGAGCACAGGAAATGTAGCCAAAGTTGTTTTGCACTGCTACAACACACTATGTGTATGACGACGAACAGGGGTGGGCGACAGGATGATACATGTCACGAGACAAACGTTTGCACCATTTCAGTGTATGTACAAAAACTATTTGTGCAGTAATGTGAGTTCACCAGAAGTGTTGTACAGCACACTGTGCACACGAGGATGAATGATATGGATTAGTATATGACTGCAGATACGCACGGTGAAAGACAAAACGCTGGCTTCAGGGCTCCTTCAGTAAAGCTGAACCATGCTTCCTGGTAATAAAGCCCCTTACCTTAAAGGTGCTGCCTAAAAGGGTGGCTTTTGAAGAGGCTGTCAGCTGCATGAAGCCTGGCTTCACCCCTGTGTGCAGCTGAACTGACATTTAGTTTGTGGTGTTTTTACTCTGGTCTGTCACACTGTGGTTAACCTCACGTGTTCACTTTGGCCAGTTTCACACTGAGCTCACTGACAACGTTCTGCAGCG